GAATAGGAATGGAGAGAAATGTATCTCCGTCCCGAAGCCTCAAATGAACGCGCAAGTGGCATCCAGTCAGGGATCGTCCCGGACAATTCACAGGATAAAAAGCGTCGCGGCGGACTGTCCAGGGGGAGTTCGAAGGAAACAAAGAAAAATAATGAAAACTGCGGTGGGAGGACGGAATGTTCCGCGATCCGACGGCTTTACGGTATTTACTCACTGAGCAATTTTCTTCAGAAATGTCTTTGTTGAGAGAAGGCCTAGAGATGTGTGTTCCAGTCAATCGAAGGGAGAAATGAAATATGGAGAGCGAAGGGTATGGAGGAAGATGCGAAGTGAGAGAGGCGAAATGCATTTTTGACGAGGACCTCCCCAAAAATCGTTCTCTTCCTAAGCTAACTATTCGGACAAATGAAAAAAAAAAAAAATACATCTAGTGCTCTTCCCTAACCAGTTTTAGGAAGCGTAACGCTCGGCTGAATCCACAACTGTGACTCCTCTTTTTTTCCTTTCCCGTCCCACGATATCCCACTTTACCTTCTCTCTCGATTTGGCACGATACAGAGAACTCACAGGTCGGATGAACGAGCAGAAAGTGTATAGAAAAAGTGGAAAGCTACTATATTTAAAGAAAGGATTCGTCGATTATTTTAACGCGGAGAGAAGGCTACCGTCTTACGAAGGCGAAATCTATTGCGAGGTATGTATTACTATTAATAATATATATAGTTTTTGTAGTCGAGTTTCTTCTCTTCGTGTCAGTTAACGAACGTCTGTCTTCGTTAGACCGGGAAGAATTCGCAGAACATGGCCGATGATTCATTTTTTAAATAAAGAATCAGTGAAACGCGCGATCTTTCGTTCCGAGGAAATTTCAAACGCGGAGGGGAAGAGAAAATTTGTAATAATTATCTGTTAACGTTTTCTCTTATGTACAAGTAAAAATGTCGTACGTCGATTCATTGAGACCGAGCTAATTTTTCTCGGTAAGGATTAAAAATTAAGGCGCCACTTATTATTATCCTGAGTATGCGAACAACGTCGTTTTCCCGTTAACAGTGTTACTTCCTTCGTACGTACATTTTTTGAAACTTTTAGTCTTTTCATTTCGTTATTACTGTTGTGTTTCTATGTATACGTCCGGTTATTATTCATAGGAATAATTAACGTTAATGCAGTTAACTCGAATCGAGGCAGATTTTTCTTGTTTCTCTCTTGTAACAATTATCCACTGACCGTGCGAGACGCATCGCAGGCAGTTTTAAAACGTATAAAAAATCTGTCCGTCGAAAATAGAACGGGTGCTAGCTACGTTCAGAGTAAATGTAAGAAGAACTCGTCGAAACTCTACCGTGGTTCGATTTGTAAGGCCTTTGTGTATGTCTCGTGCTCGTACCTCGAACAGTTTCTCAGTCTATGACGAAAATCGTTAGTCTCCCTAATTAAAAACGTCTCGGTTGTCTGTTTGAAAACGCGTTCGTTTCCCTGATACCTTAAATGGATTCGTTACTGTCGCTGCGGTATTTTCATAGGAAGAAACGACTTGACAACGTGAATGCGTCTGTTTCGAAAAACGTTATTTAAAAGATGTCTGTACGGGGGCGCAGAGTTAAAAATTCGACCCGGCCGTCTCGAAAGGACTCAATTTTTAAGCGAGGCCCCTGATTCTTTCGCGACAACCGCTCTTCTCCTTCGCTTTCGTATGCGCTGCTCGTCCCGCGTTCCACTCGTATCCCGAACTGCATTATTATTACCGCGATTATAACATGTACCTATATAAATTTGAAGCACTTGGTTTGCGATTCAGGTTTGCCGTCTCGTCAATTAGTCTTTAATTAACCTGTATCCGTGTTGCGTGTACGAGGCGCGCGTGTGCGTCTGTATGCGATTGCCGCGAGCGTCGTATAACCGTACCACGTACAGTGGCTGCAAAAGGTATTCCGTACGCGCCCATATTTTTACTGCAGTCAATAGTGACTACTTCATGAACCATTAATTGAAGTTAAACAAATCCTCTGACAGAAACCTGTTCAAATTAATCGGAAACACAAATGTTTAGAACGGGCAAGGAAATTGTCATACTTGGAAGTAAATGCAAATTGAAAATGAATCACCGCGACTGATCAGCGTGTAAATGCTAATACAGGCTTATATGCAGACACACTGTGTGCAGCTCTATTCCGCGGCACGCTATTTGTATCTGATGCAACGTGCGCGCGCGCGAATTACACAACGTTACCCGAATGAATGACGAACACGCCGGGAACGTTACTTCCGGATGCACGTGCCCGGCGCCGTTTCCCAGAGAGGGTCTCGATGATCTCTTCGCGGTCCTTGCGTTTCATGCGTTGCCCGATCAATTCTCGTTCCCTCCTACTACTCACCACCCCTCTCCCGCCACCGTCATACCGCCTAGCGAGTTTTCAATCCCTCTTTAATTTTCGTCCCCGGCATTTTGCCGGGAGACCCCGTATTCTTCTTTTCTCCCGCGTATCCGTTCGCAAAGCTCGCGCGCCTTCACAGACAACTTTATTAAATGCCAGAGTGTGCTCTTTAGAAAATTTCCACGTATGCAATTTACACGTATACGCGCTTCCTTCGCATATCATGTACGGTCTACCATGTCTCGCTCCTTACGTGTTTCTTTTTTTTTTTTTTTAAATTTTCCTATTTCTTTCAATATAGCCCATAAAAAGTATGTATATAAACGAATACTGTTACCTACACATGTAATGAACACATTGTTTCGCTTTCTTCCCATTTAATTTCACCTTTCATAGCGAGGACCCCGCATTCGCTTTCCTCTACCCGTGATGCGACTTCCGGTTATTCCCTTTTTACTAACGCGCGATCTTAACATTAACGTAAACCCTTCCCACGTTCGCACGTCTCGACCCTCCTTTCTCTCTCTTTCTCTCTCTCTCTCTCTCTCTCCTTCTTACACACTTACGCGTTCTCTCTGTCGTTTGCAATATGCATATATATATAATATAATAATGTACTTTCCCGTACGTTACGTATATGCGTTTCGTATATATCTTAATATTTTTCCTGTATATAATATACGTGTATATATACATTATTTACATGCATTTAAAAGCTAGCAGCTCTAAAAAACTGGTCTCTTATAAAACCGTGCTGCAGTTCGCTTGTCCACTCTATCGCGAACATGTACCGTGAACGAAATGAAAAATTTTGAAGAAAAAAATAAAGAAAGGGAGAATATATTAGAATGTGAATTTCTACTTCCTGTGAGATCTCTTCCTTATCAATTCCAAGTTCATCGATTATATAAAATTGTTCACTTGAAAGAATGAACAAAAGGAATCCTCTGCCTCCGCTCTTTTTGATAACCGATTTTCTAACAAACAAAATAATGCTTGAGCATTTGTCTATTGCACAGTTTTACAAAAATGTGTCCCTATGTGTTATTGTGGAATCGCATGTTCACAAGCTTTCACGATCGAGCGTTTCTCCGCGGGAAAGATCGGAGGAGGAAGAAGAAAGGACACGGGGGCGTTAATCATATGGAATTGCATATCTGCTGCGTATACGAACCAGTCGCGTTCAATTAGAATAACGAGAAGGAAAAACTTCGATTCGCCCAAATTATTTTTTCACGTGAGTTTGCAAAATCATGTGAGTAAAATATGCGGAGAGATATATATTATTAAAGTTCAGGTGATTGGACACTTGTCATCAACTGTAAGCTTGTGTACCACATGCAGGCTATTTTCTGCCTACACATTTTGTGAGTCACACTCCCTCTCACCTACTTACGAGATTCCCAGAACACAGGGGGCGGAGGCCGGCATGTAGATTATGGGATTCAAAAGGTATGACACTCTGTGAAGATCGCACAGCGATCGTCAATCGATTGGTAAACAATTGCTATTAGCGTGCTTAAAAATGTGCGAGAACAATGGAATTCAATAAGGAAGAGATTTAATAATAGGTACTGTTTCATGTATTACTTCTGTCATGTGTGCAGGGCACCGATTAAAAGATCAGAAAGTTGAGAGGAATACGATCAATCAATTTTGGGGCTTGATCCGTGGTACAGCGAGACCTTTTGATTTAGAAATAGTGAAACTGCGAGGATCGCGAGGAACATTTCTGAATAGTAATAATAAGCGTGACTCCCTCCTATATCATTCTTGGCTTCGACTTGCACGATTATCATTAAGATTGCCGCATAACTTTTGCGAAATTAAAAACAACCTGCGTCCTTCGAACTGTACATAACTCGTATTGCTAGTTGCAAATTGTGTCATTGTGTTTCGTACAAAATCTGAACGTAATAAATAAAAAATTGAAGCTTATCCGACAATCTCGTAATTATCGTGACATTTATCAGAAACACTGTATACTTCAGTTTTCCTGTTTGACGCGAGTGATCGATACGAATCTTAAGAAGAAAAGATAAAAACAGAAGTTCACGTAGGTTCCCATGTCTGTCGCGTGTATATCTTTTCAACTTTTCATTTTCCAAAAGGACAGACCCAACTAGAAACCAGTCCGAGTACACTGAGATACGTTTCCGAGGCTAGTTAGCCGGACACAACCGGTGGTGCTAATGCCGGACAACATATCAGTGATAAGCCTGGCTCGTTTTCCCCCTCTTGAGTCGGTCTCGCATCGGTAAACGAAATCCCAAACGGCGTCGAGATCGCGGCCGAGTCTCCTCGAGACCTGTTAATAATCGCCCTTCTCCTTTTGGCTTTCTCTCGGTACGCCTCGCGCTTATCTAAATGCAGCCGTGATTCGCGACGAAATCGTGTGTATAACGCGTGTACGAACGTTACGGTTGAAAAAAAAAATGCAAGATAAAACAGCGATTCGTTTCGCGGCCGTATCCTCGATCTCGTCTGCCGCTTCGAATATCGTTCCCCGTGTTCCCTCATTTTTCCTAAAGCGTATTGTATAGGTATATACGACGTCGCATTCCCAAGCTGAACGGAAACCGGTCGTAGCCGATAATCCACGCGATAAGCGACACTGATCGAGAATCCGAATAGTAAAAAATAGAATTCACGTTAGTGTCGACCGTGACTCTTCATTACCGCGTTTCACCGTGAAAATAATTGCCGAACGGAAAATAAAAATTAGACTAAAGTCAGTCGCGCTGATAGATACCTTGTGAAGCCCAAAAGTAATCTTCGATAACTTCCCCTCCTCTCCAATGCGCAGAGTCGTGCCATTCGAAGAATATCTTCTACAAATATACGTAATTATGTACACATATAAATATCCTCTTCGAAGTTCTTTCCTATCGGCCTCCTCTAACGCTTGGTGCCGATTCTATGCGAACAGTATTCCTATTATCTTCTTCCGGTACGTCATCCTTCCAATACATATATACAAATATATACTTCTTTTTCGTACAGTAAAAGATTTCATCCACGGTCAGTTCTCGCCTGCGCTAATCGAGTCGTGAAACACGAACAGCAACACGGCCTCTCTCCCTCAATCTTCAAGATCCTTGTCACTCAACAGGACTCTTCGTTCAAACCGCTTTCCGTGCTCCTCCGATGAAAATCTTGTCACGACACGTCGAGTGGGAATTCTTCGGCTTGGGATCTTCTTTGTCGTGTTGCGCAACGACGTATTCGACTCCCGCGCGTGCCGAGCGAATCAAATTGCTCTCGCGTGCCGAATCGGACACGATTCTCTCGAGTCCCCCTCAGCGCGTCATGGCGAGACTCCTCCTCAGATGACTAAGTCTCGCGCGAAGCTTTTCCTGTTGCCACCTGAGGTCCGACACTGCATTCATGTGGATCTGGCTGAGGTGGGTCAGCACGTCACAGTAGATGGCCGCCTGCCTGAGGATCGCGACCTTCGGCGCCTTATCCTTCGTCTCCACAGCCGGTACGAGGACGCGCAGCTCCTCGAACGCGGAGCGCAGCTCTATCCGCCTCTGCCGTTCCATATTGTTGTGCAGGCTCCTCTTCTCGGTGTCGAGCTCGTCGTCCGACGAGCTTCTCGACGTCGTGGACATTCCGCCTTTCGACGACGGCGACGACGATCCGCATCTGGTGTTCACCTTCGTTCTCCTTTGATAAGGCCTCTGGCGGGCGCGTTTCACGGGCTTCGGTTCAGACTGGGCGGCCCTTTTCCGCGCTGGGTTCGACGGCGGTCTACCCCGAGGCCTCGAACCGGGTGGCTTCTCCTTGAACGCGGTCTTTACTGTCAACTGGAAGTGCTGCTGGTCGGCCGGGCTCGGATACGTCGGCAACGCAGCCGGTCTACCTGGCTTTTCGTACGTTACCACGTCGATCTCTTCCTCTTCTGCAACAAACAAATAATAGGAGATGGTCTTTACAATCGTTCTGACCACCAATCTGGATATTTGAAATAATTGTATGACCGAATTCTATGAAATAATAAAAAATTTTAAGGACGGTTTCACTAGGTATCTCATTTCTTATTTATGGATGAACTTGCTGCTTATACTAGACTTTATTCACAATTTGCAAGAATACACAAAAATCTAAGTCATGTACTGTTACTGGAAGGGATTGAAAAAAAAAATAGATCGTGACTAGTATTTTCATGGCGTTAGCTACGTAATCTGGATCGGTGGCAGAAAAAAAACGTGAGCGGAGCTAATTTTGAGTCAACCCTGAACCCGAGCCGGATACTCGATATCGTTTATCTCTAAAGACCCCGCTGTCCACGAATCAGAACAGAGAGATAAATCATCGTCTACCGTTACTGACACACAGCTCACGAATGAGGGGAACAGGATTCTGTCAATGATACCGAATTAAATTGAAATAAAATTAATAGAACCGAGCCCGTGTGTACTATAATTGCAATATTTTAATATAAATCATTTAATATAAAATCAGAGTATAATAATGAATGGAGAATCGTGGTTGGAATTTTGGAAATAAATTTTGGGAGGAATAGGAGTTAGTGGATTAGCCAAACGGTGAGCGTGTTTCGCGGAGGCGTTCAGATAGTCACACGACACCGTGGGCGTTTCTGCAAACTGTGTCATCCCGTGGCACGTATCGGACCAGACAATCGGTGGAAATCCGGTTGGTCCAGATTCTTCTTCTCCGCTCGCGATCGTAACTCTCTCCTCAAGGTCAATGTTAGGGACACAATCGTTAAACCGAGTCTTTATTCTTTTCCCATAGGCAGTGATTATAAAAGTAATCGTTGAACGCTATTGTATTTCAGTTGAAATTACGTTAATTGACTGTCCAGTAGTCTCGTAAAATTAATAATCAACATTTTCATAAGCCAAAAAACGTTACACTGAGCATCAGAATTGCAAGTACTTATCGTTTAAAAACCAGAGGAAGAACAGTTTTAATTATAGAACGACGACGAGGAATGCGAAGCGTGAAGTCGATTCATGCCGCTAGAAACGTTCCTACCGTCTGGCCGTTCACTTCGCGATCGCTGCGCTTTCATGCATCAATGTTAACGCTCGGATTATATTTCTACCTGCTGTATAGTTCAAATCCTGCAATCCTGTTTGCGCGAACGAGGAAGCAGTGATACGAAGCGTTACGAGACCGAGCGCGTAATGAACTTGACCCGATAGGCGATTGGAAATCAAGGGAAAAAGCTGCTTCTGTTAGAGTAACGGGGAATTACTTAAGCATACATACAAGCTCGTTAAACAAGTGATGATAATAAGCGCGATGTAAATCGTGTGCATGAATGAAAAGCATTCCTTGAATGTTGCAAATATGAATTTACTTCCTCAGGTTTCGTAATGGACTAGGCAAACAATGCGAAGTTACAAATATCTATCAAGATCTTACCAGTCGTGAATTAAGCTTTCCAACGATTACCAACTACTCTATTCTGTGCTTAATTGCTTATCTCTATAAGAAAATAATTGAGACGCGGAGCGGTTCTCATCGGGTCCATTTAAAGTCACAGACGGCATCAAACAGGAAGAGTCACTCGAGGAACGAGGAAGGCGAGAGAAAAAGGCCGGCATGGCGCGCGTATATTCGTGCAGAAGGCAACGAAGCAGCAGATCACCCGGCGGGGTTCGCTCGTAACCGCACGCCGCTTCCACGTGTTTCGTCGTCGTGCCGGGCCAGACACACGAATCTACGGGGAGCTGGCCGGCCGCCAGGTCGTCGGCGAGCTACTGCGAAAAGGCGCGAAACGACTAAAAATAATTGAGCACATGAGCCGGCTAAACTAACTATAGGCAGCTTCAGCAGCACTCGGACAGAGGACCACTTACTTCCCCCTTCGGATACGTCGTCGTTTAACTTACGCGTGCCCGTCTGTTTTCGTTTCACATTCTTTCCCAGCCTTCTGCATACTGTCATCAACATCTCCTTTTTAAGTCTTGTACGTTTTCTTCAACGTTTTATTTGGTTAAGGAGAGAACTGCTTTTTTATTCCGTAAGTTGACTGACGTGTATCAGTTGATGAACAAATTGAGAAGGAATGAATGATTGCACAGAGAGTCTAACGTGATTTTCATTTCTTTGAATCGGTTTGTAACAGCAAAGCAGTGAATGTCGAGAAACAGAGGGAGAGAGAGACAGGCGTCGTCTATACCGAACCTACCCCACTTGGCGAACGAGACTCGTCCAAAATTAGCAAGACCAGGAAAGAGACGCGGTCGCACGAGTACGAGGCCAGTGCATAGTATGCCAGAATGGAAGGAACACGACAGTGTGGTACTTACTGTACACGCGTGTGACACGAAGGAGGCTGCGCGGGAAGGTCGAGCGAGCGAGAAGAAAGTTTCGTGAGGATTGTGAAAAGGGGGGTTCCGAGGGGAGCAGGATCGTTGCCGCGATACGATAGTAGCCAGAAGGAAGGGAGGGGTGTTCGCCGGGAGGGAGAGGAGAGAGAGATAGCGAGAGAGGATAGGGGGGAGGGGAGGAACGTCAATTCGCGGCAGCACGTGCAACCGCGTAAGAGCGACCTTGGGGGTCAGTGCTCTCCGTGTAAGCAGGCCATAGTAGTACGTCGACGCGAATCGATCGACTGTCCTCTCTCGTTGGGATAGGCGACCGCGAGACGAGAGCCACGCCGAGGGAGAGAGGGAGACGGGACAAGTTTTCGTGATATCGAACGGTCGCGGCGGAAACGCTTTGAAAAACCGATGGTGGGGAGCGCGCCGCCTCACTCTCTCTTTCTCTCGCTCTTGTCTCCTCAATGAACCGCTGTTTGTCCTGTCTCTCCGCGCTCTCCGGTTGCCGAACGCAGAGTACGAGCATTTTTCTCTCTCTTTTTTTTTTCTGTCACAGACAAATCCCTTTTGGCTGATTACGCGTTTTGATTTGTACGCTTCAGCCGGGGCGCGGCACCCGTCTGGCTGGCTTTCCACCGGGGGCGGGCGGGAGTCAACACAATGCGCAGGAACGTAATGCGCGCGCTCCGCTTTGGAAGTGAACGTACCGCGTAGACGTTTCTTTGATCCCGCTCGGAGATAAATGAGACAAGTGTCCGGGAGGCTCGGGGCACCGGACCCCGCGATATAAATTATGGAATTCAGTCCGGCGTCGGTTCATTCCGTAAAGAAACAATTCCGAGCGTAATAAGAACGAGAGCACGTAAACGTTCGCTGGTCCGAGCGCGCGCGAAGGGCGTGAAAATTCCATCGCGGCGAAGGGAAAGTAAGCAGAGAGAGTCCGGCTAACGTTCGTCGAAGGCCGCGCCGTGATTCAATCTGTGCACGCCGCGTGCTATCGGCTCGCTCATTGACGCAAGTTCGCAAGAAAAGATCGCGAAGGAAAGTGGCAGGCATTCTCACGGCGTGCTCGAGGCTTTGCGCGACGACCGACCGACCACGATATGTGGGTCTCCCGACGTCCGGTGACCCGTTACTTCCCCGCAGATAACCGCTACCAGATATCCTATGTACGCGGGGAGCTATGCAAGCTCAGCCAGAAATCCACGCGCGTGGTCTGCATCCCAGTGACCCGAGCGAACTCCTCGGCCCAAGTATTGATCGCCGACTTTTTCGAGATCACGTAACCCTCCCCAGTGTCTCCGCCTGAGCCGAGATAGCCACCTTTTATTTTAAACCGTTGATAAAAGCCGATACGTCGAAATATCTAAAACCCAGGGTCGAACGATTCAAAGTACGTGTAAACTAGGTTGACGTTCCCGCACGTTCTAGTCGGACCACTGAATCAAAAAGCAAAAAGTTCCGTTTGTCATGGGATTTTATCCCCGAATCTCAAGCCCGTGTCGCACGGTTCAAACGTTTAGAGAGATGACAATCCCTTTAAGCAGAGGCACATACGCGAACGTGACGGCACGTTTCTCTTCCTGGTCAACTCTCGTCTGTATGTGCGTCCATATATGAGGCGAAGCCATAAATCTCGTCGTGCCCAAGGCGCTGATGCCTCGTACTACCAGCCGACTCATCCAATCCAGTTACGAAAGTGAGCGCCAATGCATCCGACGGTGCAAAGTGCTCTCTTTCTCCCTTTCTCTGTCTCTCTCTCTCTTTGGGTGCCGCCGCTCGAAAGTCACGAAAGAACGGCATTCGTTCCACGTGAGAAACGGTTCGCGGGGGACACAGAAATCGGCGCGTTGCGTGCAACGAGCCAGACGATCCAGGAATTTTCTCCTGTTACCGCGATAATACATCAACGATGCATACTTAAGGTATCCTAGCCGGCAGCTACGAAACGAATTTTCTCATCGCCGGGCCGTTTCAAATTCTTCTCTCGACTTTAAATACCAGTGCGGACACCGTCGATTCAAAGGTAACGATAACAGCTGGCAAGCCACCCACGCCCAGTTTTCATCGGCGAGCCACGGGCTGCTCCTCCGTTCGAATCGGAGTAACAAGGAGGCGAAGCTCGTTGAAAAAAATCAGAGACCATAACGCGTTACTATCCGACGGTCAAGTCCAATTACGAGCCCCCACCCCATCGCCTCCGGGGTTTTACACATTACGTGCGCGCGCCCGGTTGTGTGCGAGCGTGTGTACGAGCGCATGCGGAAGGCATGACCGCGAGATACTACCTTGAGTAACGGCAGCCTACGCGAGATACGAAACGCGGCAGACGTGTATTCTAGGGGATAGTAGCCAGGAAACGACCCGGTGACCAGACACCATTCAAGCCCTGCCCACCGGCCTAGCAGAGCCACCCACGCAACGGGATGCACTTTCGTCGCGTCATCGACGTTACCGCGAACCGTCACGGTGCATCGAGTGCATCGTCGATGATGCCTTCGCGGGTGCAAACCGTGACTCATGACGGAGCAACGGTGACGCGGCTCCGAATCTGTCGCTTCCGAGTAGCGTCGATATTTAATGAACTTTATTGAATTCACAACAGTCAACGCGCTATTGCATTTGATATAAGCGTGGACGGACACTAAATGATACGTTACTTCAAATTAAATAGTATGAATTTAATGAAACTGCGAAGATGTTATAACTATGTAGTTTCTTGGAAAGAAATTGTAGCTACTGATCGATATAGACGGTCGATACAGAAAAGCGGAATACACGGAAAAAGCATCTTCGTTCCAGCATCTTTCTCCTTGGTCGATTGACTCGGAGAAAATGCCAGTCGCTCGGTATTGGTACTTACGACCGTCTCTTTCCTTTCCTTTCCCTTTTTTCCCTTACCGTCCTCGCTCTCCTTTTGGATCACTGTATTCGGCTATTCCCTTCTCCCTTTCTCGTTCGATCGATCCGAGAGAGAGAGGGAGAGAGAAACAGATAGACAGAGAGAAAGAGATAGATAGAGAAAGAGAGAGAGAGAGAGAGAGTAGTCGGGCTGGCATGCCGCCTCGGGAGAACGAGAAATGCAATAAGAAGGAGAGAACCGTCTCGTCGGTCTGGCAGAGAGAGGAAAGGAGTGCCTTGCTTCGCGGGGTTCACGGCGTGCGGGAGAAACGCGAAAGAGAGCTCGCGTCCCGTCGCCGGTTCTCCCCTTTCTCCGCCCGATCAATTTCGAATCTCTAATTAGCCATCGCGATATTTACTGTCGACTCTTATCCGAGTACTCCACCAAGAAACGTGGAACGCGTTTACGTTATCTCGGCCGGCTCGCTGGCTCGCCCGTGAGATCCTTGGAATTCGCGATTCGCTATTTCCGTATCGACGCGTAGTACATAGATAAAATAGGATAAAGAGAGAGTAGTGGCATTGTAGCGTACAAAGAAGGCGGGGAACGAGGTGGGGGAGGTGGGGTTTTAGGAAAAAGTGAACGCGGAGGAGAAAAAGTATCTCCTTTGATCGCCGCCTGATGCCGGTCGGCATTCTCAAATCAGGTTTTACCAGTCTCATATTTCGGCGTCCGACCTCCTAATTCTCGAACGCGCAAGCCCCGGCATCCTGGTTCGTCGACCAGACATTTTGATACTGAAAAAAACGACCGCGAATTAATATACTCCCTTTCTCTCGGGTAAAAAATTAAAAGAACATCTCCAACAGAATGTGTGCCAATTGTAAGATGAAATTTTCTATAAGACAAAAACGGATTTATTTGTAAATCAGTTCGTTAAAAAAAAGTAAAGGCCGTAGAGAGTGACCTGACGCTATTGCCGCTACGGTTATCGGAGCGGCGGTCTCTCCCACGCGGCCGAACTTAATGAATGAATGAATGAATGAGTGAGTGAATGAGTTACGTCACGCCCGGAGATGCACATATACGTGTAACGTAGCGGAGAGTTTCCTGCGCACGCAAAAATAGGCGCCCACTTGTTCCCGTAATTACAGACGCCGAAGCGACAAAGACGGCGGGGGGAGAAAGGGGGGGTGGGCGGCTTCAGGCGACCACTCGAAGGGGTTGGGAAAGCGATAGAACGTGGCAAAACCGAGAAAGAGAGCGGGAAAACGGTCGGTCGCGGCTTATACTTATGTAGAATGTTAACTAATACCTTCGAGAGATGCCAAACCCACCTGCGTTCAAAGCCGATACCGCTCGAATTGTTTTGCAATAAGCGCGAGAGGACCGTTACGTTCGCGGTGAAACCGCGTTTCAGTATTATCAGAATGCAACCCGCATCGGTCAACACTTCGATAGTTTATTTTAATAATAGGATACAGCGGCCAGTCGAGTTACGTTTTCCTCCTTTCGTTTCGTTACGTGACTAAAATCGTAGCTGCGATAGAGCAAAACTGCTAACAGGTTGATACCAGCATTCGAGTTTGATTAATCGTTAAACAAAATACACCGTATTTGCAAAATCAGTATAATTTAATTAGAACTGGTAATGATCATTTTTAACGAGGGATGTGGCGGGTTTAGAAATTGATAAATTATTACGGTACGCGCGTAATGAAAGGAATGCGCTCGCTGAAATTGATGGAAGCGTTTAACGTGTCTAACGAATCGGTGAAAGGGAATATTTCCCGAGCTCGAGGGATATATTATATACGTGTAACCGTAAGCAGTTTCCTTTCGCGGGACGAACCGCTCGGAGCTGGCCGAAACCGATTCAGACCGTGACGGGAAATGTCCAAAGTGAAAATGATACCGCGAATTTCGCGGCGGCTTTCTTCCCCAGCTTTCGCCGGTTCGTTGAAATCGAAACCCGAAACCCGGTTTGGCACACGGCACAATGCCGTCTGTCGGCCTTTCGGTGCCGCGCGGACGCGCTGCACCCACTGAATTCCACCGATCGACAGGCCATCGGTACGCGACGTCGCGCACATTTTTATTAGCAGTTTACAGGCCGCGTTACTTGCCCGCGTTCCATCGCGCCGCGAGTTTTCCTGGAACGTACGACCGGGGAATTTGCATGGAGAACGGAGACTCGTTTCGTCGATGGATAAGCCACCGGTGGAGAGGGTACGTACTCGGGCGGGGTTGCGTGCGAACACTGGGGGGAAAAAAAAAAAGCCAGGTCCAGACGTAAGACGAGCCGGCATCCCCGTTGGATCACAGGATCGTACGAATACGTCCCGACGCCTCGTCACAATGCAGAAATTCGAGACGACGCGGTAAACCACCTAAACATTTCTGCGACTGGAAAGTTTGAGAATCTGCATTGAAGCTCTGAGAGATACGACGAAGCTAACCATCGAGGAGGCTAGGATTGCAAAGTCGAGAGAATTGAAAAAACGAAACACCGCGGACAGTTTACTTTCCATCGTTGCTAACTAAGTAAATGTGGGACTTGGCGCGACCTTCGTGCGCCGCGGTATTATAGAGTCGACGAGGAGGCTCTTAATAGGCCTGATAGAACCACTCAACAGGCAAACGATTTCCAAGCACGACGTCTTCGCGGTGAAACTAATGCCGGCGCCTAGCTTCCACGAATCGGTGTTAGTCAATTCTCCGTTTCGCCGAGAAAATTGATTTTCCTCGTCGCGACCGAGGTTTCACCGAAATGATTTAAATCCGTTGGAACGCGAGTACCGATGTTTCGAAGAAACACCGCGATCATTTCCGTACCGGGAATCCCATTCCTCGAACGACGATCTATCCGGGTATTTTTCATTGCACCGCTTACGTTGCGCTTATCGCAGTTTATGTAATTAACGGCATTAAGCAGCTGCTTCGGTTGGCGCCACACGCGTAACACTACGGCCGCCAATGATATACATGTGCCACGCACTTATCTATTACTATACGCGTGTCATTCCGATCAAAGAGTGCAATGTCTACATTGTAATAAACTATCGATAGATAGACGTCCGCTGTTGGCCGCGCGTGCAAGGAAATCGTCGTCTTTGAGGAAATTTGCAAAGCGAACATGCAAAGACATTTCGCGCGTATGCATTATGCAAATATTGATATTACGAACGCGATATTTTATGGCTCGGAGTGCGCGTTAAAAGGCAGGCACGCGGAAGATAATTCCTCGCCGCGACTCCGCGGATTACGCGATTTCCTGGTAGTATCTCAGACGATCAGGTGTTATCAATTAATATATTGGTATTACTCCAACGATTCTACGCTCACAAATTCTGTTGTACTTTCATTTAATCCTATTTAATGGGCAATTTTCAAACGGATTTGAAAAAATGAGAAATGTCAGACGAGCCGTGGTCGTTCTAAGAGGAGAAAGGCGCTGAATCAGAGAGAAACATACGTAAGAGATGCCTGAAGGGCACCGATGCCCGCGTAACACGCCACTGGAGTGTATCCCTCTCCCGATCGCGACTGCGCCGCGGCGCGAATGGCAAAAAGGCTTAACCGCATTCCGGCGACCATTTAAACCGCCGCGGCGGGGTCCCACGCTTGACCGCAACCAGCGAGCGACCGAGCGACCGGCCGGCCGGCTATCGATTGACGTCACTTGGTACCGCGTGTGACCTTCGAGTTCCCGCGCGATTAAATGCGCATGCTCCGACGATCCTACTCTTACTAGAGACTGTCTTCTGCACCTGCACACCACCGTTCAAAAGTACACGGACAATCGATAAAATACATAATTAGTGAGCTAATACGACTTGAAAGAAGCGTGCGGTAATTCAAATTAAATATAGAAACTCGACTCTTATTATATTTGCAGTACCTTGAACAAAAATCTTGCTAATATATTTTTCTACTGAATCATTAAACAAATATTTATTATAAACGAACTTGTGTTTTACGTATTTCTCCGGTATATACAAACGATACCTTGCGAAGTTATCGGAACGCAGAAAGTGAGTATAATAATTATAATGTTCAGGTACGGGGGCTTTCCTTGTTGGAAGGGAACGAGAATGGAGAGGGATTCTGGGCGCTGAACAGGAAAGGTAGAGAAGAGTCTACCGTAAATCGGCGGCAGTAAATGACCGGTCAGATACCGCAGACGTCACGCAGCGTGGAGCAGCCCCCTAGTTCGCGGCGCGTTGCTCGCATGAAAAAAGATGCGCGCATGCGTTCACCGTCGTGTTCCTCCTGTACCAGCAACCCTGACTTTTACCTTGTCTCTCGACGGGAATTGCTCAATTTAAACCGCGCTCGGACGGAATTGTATCCACGAGGTGCGACGATATCCTCAGTTCGTATGAACAATGTACAATATTTCGTAGGATTAGAAGCGTTGGAACAAAACGGTAAACCCATCGCGTTTTATCTCGAATCGGGTAAATAGAAAAAAAAAAATAGGTTCCCGTTATCGGTGCTCGTTGCCTCATATGACAGGGAAAGTGCAAGCTAAAAAATAATCGCGTGAACTCGACGGACACACGAGGAGCCCCTGTGAAGTGCAGAGGTCTTGAGAGATATCAAAAAAACGGGTGGCTTTCTCGTACGAAACGAGGCCGAGCTTCATAATCTTGAATTACGCAAAAGTGAGAGCCGATTACACGCAGTACGGATTCAGACACCTATCTCGTTTTTACAGTTTTTCTGTCGCGCCGGACGCATTTATCCGTATGCTAATTCCATAACCGTCTCCTGCATATACTTCCTTTTTCAAAAGATCACAGGTTAATCCAGAAAAGAGAGACGTCGTCGAATTGCAATTATAATTAGACCGCAAAATACGTAAGATCAAACATTTATGACTTAAACAGTTCACACTTCTACATCTTTATATTTGCTGCATATTTAATTCTACAAAAGTACAAAATCCGAAGTGTATTTTTAATTATGCAATAAACGCGATCGCGCGAAGGGCTTGTTAAATTTCTTCATTCAGCGATCCGTCTGACCGCGCGCGGTCATTTGCGAGCCCGTGGGTCCTGACGATTACCAATTACGAATGGTGACACGACAACACGAAGGCCGAATCTGCGTCGTGTGTCCGGTCGCACGCTGCCGACGTCTTCTCGATCCATTAAGCCCCCGGGGGCCGATCAGGAAACAACTTTTATAAGAGGCCCGGGGTAGACGTTCTCCTGCTCAGGAATTCTCTCACCGGTCGGCCGATCGCGCGTCCGTTTCATGCACTCGAAGAATTCAATCGCGTTCAGTCGATCAAACGTTCCAATCAATTACTCCGGCCTTTCGTCGTCGGATCACGTCGTTAGTTAACGAACGCGATCGCGTCAGAATTGTCGGCGCAATTTCTCGCGATCGGATTAGGTTATCTCTAAGCGATACCTAATTTGGTTAATGAGCGAGCTATACGTGTACGTACCCTCATGGATATTTAGACCTTTGTTTAACAAAAACGTCTCATCTACTTTTCCTCGACATAAATCTTGTTTGTTATAAAAAGTACTATGTACTTACGTAACAACCGACATACTACCGTACCGTTTTTGTTACCGCTAGTATAAAAAGAGACCATCAATCTCGGAAATGTTATGAATGCTTTCTTCATGGCATGTATAACTTATCGCTTTCAGTATTCTCGACTTTAATTCATCGATTGTAACGACAATAACGATTCAGGATCAATTCTATGATTTTTAAAATAACGAAGCTTTACAAATTTACAAATGTAAAAGAAAAATGTGCAAGGTAGATCGATGATGAAACATTATTTCTAAAAAATGCTCGATAAGTACAATATCGCAAGATTCAGGCATTCCGTTGTAAAAAACATGTTACCTCGGTTAGTTCGATTTTACATGTAATCGGAATAAAAGACAGTGGCGCGCCGGGGCCGAAGCGTCGGGTCACGTGCGCGCGCGTTAAGCGTCCGCCGCGCATACGTGGACACGCGAGTGCAAAATGCACGTGTGTATTTACGCGGGTCAGAACCGGAGCGTTGCGCGACTCCTTTCCTCGTCATGCTCTCCTATCATAAGGAACCACGCACACGAAGCTAGCGTCGTCGTCCGAACGACGCGCGATTCGTTTGTATACGTGCCGCTTCCCGGTATATCTATAAAACGACGCTAGAGGATGTCGCCATGTGGCGCAACGTATTTTCAGGTGGCACGAACGGCACGATTTTCCACGACGACGACGCCGTTGCCACGAATTATGCGAGTCGCGCCAACACCGTGTACACATACTCGTTGACCACTGTCTCCCTTACGCTCTCCCGGAATCACTATAGTTAGAACCAGCGGACACGGCACGTGACGGAACGACGACGTCTCCGCTGGGATACGAGTAAGCTACGAGCTCTGAAGACAAACCGCTGCTCCGAACAAACCAAATCACCCGCCCAATATATTCGCGCCTCGAAGAAACGGACTCGTTTACCGATATCCTTTTCTACGTCTCATATAATAAATTTAAATAAATCCAAAGAACAATTGGGGTTGTCATAAACAATCCGATGCAGATAAAAAATAAATTCAAGAATTTGTACGATCAGTTAGATAATATTTATGCAAGTTATTCGAATGGAATACCTTTCGTCTCGTATCATTCAGAAGAAAAATATTGGCGAGAGGGAGGGTGGTAACCGGGAACGAGATAGCGCGCGAATGAAAGGCTGCATTCGAATGCGGTCCCTCTATCTATCGTGTACATTTGCAAATTTCTGCGAGGAACCGCGGGTACGTGACACGCGCGTGTGCGAAGCGCGCCGCGTCTGAAAAATTACACCCCTGCGAACAAAACCATCTCTGTTCGGCAGTAGGGACGGATTACCTCGACAATGCGAAAATTGTGCGCCACGGGAACGACAAAAGGATCGCGCGCGCCTCCCCCTTTGTCCTTGTACCTGGTGGGCGACCGACGAAAAAAAAAAAAAAAAAGAATGGAAAAGAGGCAACGAAAAAATTCGTTTTTCGACGGTGCACAGTAACGCGGATCAAATTGTTTGCGCAAACACGAGACGACGCGACGCGACTTGCCCGTCGCGTGTCGACTGCGCTACATTCGAAAAATTCTCACGGGTCTCTTTTCTCCGTCTCCGTCCTTCTTACTTTTTCCCCGGCCGTTACAAAGAATAGAATATAACGAAGAAAGAGTAGCGTTGTCGAGGACGACAACGTTAGCGTAACGACCTCCGAACTCGCTTCGGAACGAGTTTCTTTTCTCGATTTCGTCGCATTCACCGGCGAATGACGAATAACCGAACGCGTGATTAGCATACTCATGCGGGCAACAGAATTCGGCGAACTGCACCTCCGTCCCTCTCGCTACGACCGGGAGTGCCGGTGCCGTCAATTGCACTCGATTAAGAGGATCCTTAGTTCGACCTTGCCTGGCTCCGTTTAAGAGGGCCACAAAAGAACCGAGATGAATAAACTCGTTGATCCTTTGGCGGATGCGTACGATAAAAAACGTATTCCGGCTGGAGCACAAGCGGCATATTTGTGTTGCTTCGATTTCGTAGGAAACTAGCCGATGGGTCGCGTGTGAGTCATATTTTAACGATTAATCGCGTGACGATGTTTATAGAATTTCATACTCGATCCCTGGCATAATCTTAGTTCTCGTAATATGCATAGAACAATGAGGATACGCGGAGGGGGGCGTGGAGCGTTATGACGCGAATAGACACAAAGTGGCATCATGAAAGCAAGCGAATAACCGTGACTCACCGGAATCGGAGGGTGTCTGGACACCGAGGTATTCGAGGTTCTTCCCAATCGGCTGATTCAGGTGATAACAGTGATCACTGAGGGTGTTTCTGATGTTCGTCTCTCTGTGCACTTGACACTGACTATCCTCCTCCACTTTCCGCCGCCTGATCTGCTGACCGGTGACCTGGCTCACCGGCGCCGCCTTCGTGATCGCGGCAGCCGACATACACTCAGACAATTTCTCGTGTATGTTGATCTGATCGTGTCTGAAGAACGGACCTTCGTCTTCGCTCTCTGTGTCGGAGTCGGAGCTTAGCGGTGTTTCCGGCCTACTGGAATCGCCGTCGCTCTCCAGGCTTTTCGTGCGGCACTGTTGCAGCAGTATTTGTTGCGTGTTTAGCGAGCTGCTCATGTGACGAGGTATTAGCAAACTTCGACCGGCCATCACCTTCTTCTGTATCTGCGAGTTCCTCTGCGCAGGCAGGGTCCTGTTGTGTTCTTTGCTGATGCACAGGCCCGCCCACATGCAGTCGTGGTGGCGTATCTTGCGGGACGCCAGGCAAGTCATCTTGTCATAGCGCAGGTCCGGCAGGATGCCGTCGTCGAAGGTCCTCTCATAATACATTTCCGGGTCTGGAAAGTCCAGGTCGAATTTTTTCCATATGTCGTCGGACACCACGGTGGCGGTGTCCTGAGGCTCGTCCATCAGGCCCAGGTCAGGGCAGTCCCAAACTGGCACCGGCATCTCGCCTAAAATAATATTAAAAAAAAATACATCTCTGTGTTATAACTTAATAATAAAATTAACGACTTATCGTTAATTCTACAATCCAGCATGCATGTAAGTTTATTTAAAGCGCGTCGAATTCAACGTGACAGCCGATTTATTAATCGCGGAACGTTCGTTTCGGGTGTTGCAACCATCCCAAAGAATTTTCGATCCGGAACGTAGCCGGTGTCAATCATCCGGGCGATCATCCATCAGAACGATCCCGTTTCCTCCTCCGCGGCGGTCTGTTACAACGTGTTGCTTCACCGCGGAGAGCATCGTAATAACCCGTTCGGCGTTGCACCAGGTGTCGTAACGTCTGTGCACATTATCACGGGAATCGGCGAAACGAATACGGTTAATGCTATGAAAATACGAACAGAGGTCATAACTCGTTCCCAATAAAAATAGACGTCCTTCGTCGACCATGCATCACTTCGCACGCTATTTTTTCTCTCGCGCCACGGTAAAAAGAAGTACCATTTGAACGAGCGATATAATCGATGCCGACGAGACACGAAAGGCTCTCCGGGTACGTTTCGCAAAACGGAATCTCAACGAACGTACTTGCGAATTTCGTCTACCAATGCAGTCTGCGCGCGGGGAACGAGGAAAAACCGGATGGCCGTGAACGTACCTTCGAATAAATCACGACCCGCCTCACAGAACGGCCCTAGACAACTGAACTTTTTCCCTTCCCTTCTTTTCAAGAACCGTTACATCTTTTCCTCTGTACCGAACCATTCACGGTACATTTCGACCACCAGGTGTTAGGAGAAATTCTTAACGACTTCGTGCACGTCTACGACAGTCTCCACTATTATTCGAACGTATCAGTTCGCCGAATACGAAAAAACTCAGACTATAATTGTTATAAATTGAACAGTGCAAGGACGCAGTACTAAGGATCAATTTTCTCTTCGGATGACGCATCGTTTTGCCTGAGAAGAACAAGAAACGCAAACAGAGAGACGAGGAGCAGTCGGATGGTCGAAAAGTCGCATGAAGTGATGCGATATGGGCGGTAGGAATGAGTCACCGGGATTCCAACGAAATTCGCCGGCGGTGCACACACACACGTACACGTACCCATATTACATATCCAGTGGACACATAATATCGGTTTCATCTGCAAGTTGGACCGGCGAACGAATGCGAGATTCGCTTTTATTGTCGGCGGCCTCAAACTCAAACATCACGTCCGCCCGATTAGGCCCACCTCGACGACAATCAAACGCGCACGCCCGCGCGTTATCTACTCGGTTCCCACTCCGACCTCCCTCCGCGCGAAAATTAATCGTTACGTAAACTTCGAGCCTCCACCGCGTCGCCGGCACTGTCACTTTCGCGGGAAACACCCGCGCATGCCTCTGCCATCGCGTTCGATAACAAAAATTCAACTAAACAGCTTTAAGAGACGAACTAACGCAACTAAATCTATGCAATTCAATTGAAATTCTAATTCCTATAATTAATTTCAGTTGGTTTCATCACACGACTAAGTAGTAATTATTTATAAATTAAAGAAGCAAGTTTCGCGATAATGAGATGCGAATGATCATCACGTGTTGTATTTAATGTTTCCATTAATCGGATATTAATGTTTTGACAAACGTTCAGATAGAAACGGTTGAACGACTCGCTCCACGCGTGATTCTTATCGGATGATCCGCTCGCCATTGTCAGAAAAATAAATCGACTAGGAAAAGTGAAAGGATAAGATGGTAGAGAAAGAGAGAGTCTTTTGAGACTCGATCGCCCGTGAAAAACGCGCGCTGTTGAAAAACAATGACACATTATCTGTCCGTTCTTGTTACTATTTCGCTGCTTGAATCAAACAAAAGGCGCGCGCGGTAGGGAAGATCACCTTCCTATATAGAACGGCCTTCGAAGGGAAAGAAAGCATGTATGTGTTTATTACTGGGAAAACATAGAAAAAGAAGAAGAAAAACGAAAGTAAGGATACAAACTTCCTGTCAAATCTAACTGCGTACAAAAAAAGTGTTCGTTGCCGAGTAGTAAATAAAAAGAACAGGCTAAATGTTTTGGGGATAATAATTTCTTGTACGAATTCCATCGAGTCATGTTTCTCTCTCCAGTCCCGGTTGTAAACGGCAGACCACACGTCGCCGGCGTGTCTTCCCGTTTCTCGCTCGCATGACGAATAAATTGGATCGCGATCTCGTTAATAACGGATCACGCTTTCACGTAAAACCGACACTTGGACCGACTGCAAAAACTCAATTTCAATCAAGCCACGAGACAGAAGACGTTACAGACGTTACAGGAACAATATTCCGTGCGAAGTTTATTACGTCCGCGTGTGTGTGACGTTAGATTAAACGTCGACAAGCGGGGTGGAGGAAAGGTGGAGAGAAATTATTTGACCGGACTGATAAAGACTGCTTTCGTTTAGACGGACTTTCGAAAATCTATACGTACACGTAGCACACGTGTACGATGGGTACACGTGTATGAAGCACATTCCACGGCCACGAGATCGATGGATCGAACTTTTCTGTCTACACGCGTCGGGAGAAACAGAGAAACCGGTCCACCGGTAACAGCAGCTTTAAAGACAGATACATACATATATGTATGCACGTATGTAGGCGCCGGTGTCTGTGTATCTGGTGTGCCCGCTAACTTCCGTCGAACATTATCGTTCAACCGTGTAACGAGCTGACAGCTTTCCTACCGCACTCTAATTAACTTAGGTGGCTTTCGTCGCGAGACGAGAGGACACCGAGGGCGAAATGAAAAATGATCGGAGCATCGTTCTGAAGGAAAAAATCGAAATCGCCTATCTGAACTGCAACGACATCGATCATTTATAACCCTTTAAAATCATGTACGTTATGCAACGGTCTACAGGTAGTTTTAATTACTTGTACGACAGTCCCGTCAGACCACATTCCCAATGAGCGAATTTTCAGGTAAAGAAGAAAATGAACAAACTGAACACGAAGATTAGATACGAGGTACGTTACGAGTATTTGCGATAGGTAATTGTATATCCGGGGCGGTATTTCAACCGAACTCTAATATCGGTTAAAGGGAATCAGTCTCATTAATTCCCAGGCGGTCTGGCTACAAATTCTTACGAGACGGACGCGCGCGCCGGCCGGGGTCGACGTGTTGCACGACGTTGCGATGGAAAGTGCAACACATCGAGTTAGCGTGCCTATCACCGCTTGACATATTTTCTCGTACGTATATCGATCCCGATGGGACGCGATGCGTGTTACTTAATCAACCCGGTCTGTGTGTGGCCCGAGCCCCGGCGGTGAAACAATTTTTTGAAATGTCAAACACCCGAGACCGATAAAAAAGAAATTACCGTATCGATTCCGGGACAGACATTCAAACGCGACGCTAAAAATAATATATGCGTAGTCGGGAATAACGAGAGGGACATAAAAATTTAAACTAGTACATGCTTTTACATTTTCATGTATTCTAATTTCTTACATAATGTTTTTAAATAATTCTCGCGATTGCAAGCGTTATCGAAATTTTACACAATTCACGGATATGCGTATGAAAAATTGATCAGCCGAAATTTTGGCGGCAAAACGCCGACGCAGAACGCATAGCCGATTTATTTCGAGATCCGCTCACTGGCATAAAAATCGGCGAGAACCCGGACGGCTGCCAAATAAGAAATTCGCAAGCTTTAAACAAAGCGTTCGACGAATTACTACGCTTCTCGAAAACGTATCACCGATATTTATACACGAGATTCGGTAGAATCTTTTCGATGGCACGACGCATGATTTAGCAGAATTTCTATTTTGCGCGCGTTCGACGAACAGCGTTCAGAGACGATGTACATAGATATTTGCAATTCTATTAGCGTTAATCTGTCTTACGAATGATCGAGACGCCACGGCCACGCTGACGATCCCGTTCCTCGCTGAAATTCCGCCTCGAACCGGTCGCGAGTTAACAGTCCGCGGCTAACTGTCAAAATTGTAAAAGAATTCGCACGAGGACAGGAAGCGACCTGTCACTCGACCGCGAACGCGGCTGTCACTTCGAATCGATAAAACGAAAATATGAAATAATATGTACGAACCTGTCGGCCACTTAGCGTTGTAACCCAAAAGGAAAATAGTATCCACTGTGGAGTACACTTGGGCGCGAGGTTGAATCTCGCGCTTGTAACCGAACTGATTACGAACGGGCCGAGAGTCCTTTTTATTATTTCTGCTTACGTCGATGTGTCCTCGGGTTATCGCCCGGTCTGGACGAATCACGCGGCACTTAGCAAAAGCTGCGATGCAAAAGGAGGGAATAAAAATGTTCCCTCGTTGCAACGATCAAGTGACTTGGTACGACGCGCGAGTGTCGGCAAAAATTTGATCCGCGTTCAGGCGCTACAGCCGCCGGTATTACTGCCGTCCGGCCATAAACGATTTAACCGTTTTCTTTTATTGTCGAGACTGCGATACAAAGCGATACTACTACTGCTGCTGCTGCGTTTTCCCAGGCAAAGGAAGAATTTCATTCTCGGCGCGGTCTGGTGCGATAAGCCGGTGGCTCTGACTCTGTCTTGTGCACGCGCACGGTGATCGGCGGCGACCCGATCTTCACTTTAAGGCCGGTTAAAGGCGACTAAACTATCCAGCTCGTGCGCCTTCCATCTTCCGCAGGCATGCCCACCGCTACCAGACCCGGTGCCAGGGCCGTCAGCTCCTCAGCGTTCGCCCCACTGTTGCCGCAGGACGCACCAATCACTGTGTAGGTATACTTATACACTAGTGGCTTATCCGGTATACAGTCTGTATATACAGTGATATCCAGATATCCGACTACCGCTCCGGTTACTCAACTCCGTTTTTCCCTCCCATTTAATATCTCAATATCTGCAATCTATTTGAATAGAAACGCTGCACATATCAGAATTCAGACGTATTCGGCTTAAAATAGAATCGTAAATGTTCAATCAGCGATTGATAATATATGTAGAATATAAGTAGAACTCGCTAACGCACATAGAATCGAGTTGCTGTTTAAAAACGAGTAACTTCGTTGCGCTCCCATATGTATGCCTGAATATGTAATTACCTTATCATCGCCTACAATGATTGATGTCTCGTGACATGATAACGGGACGACACACTCGGAAAAGTCCTTCCCGCGTCACTCGTCTTTTTTGTTAATGGTGCATCAGTAATAATTAAGAACAACCATTCATTTACCCACGACATTTGTTTTGATTATGAAAAATGTTGTAAAAACACTGTGTGTCTAAACACAATTGGGTTACGATTATTTTTAACGAAAGAACATCGATCACCGTACGCCTCGCAGGTAGGCAACACACTTTTGTATATACCAGGCACCAGCTGTTCGACCTGTGCAACCGCGAGAGAATATGCAATAGTTTGATGTACACCGTCTCGCCATGAGTTTGCCATGGGAGAAACGTGCAGGCCACATGTGGAGCAAACTTGTGGTTGACAACCTGTCGGACCTATACAGAGATTTCATACTACGAGCATCGTATATAAATAAATGAGAATACTCGTCGCGTCTACGGTCACTGTCCTTCGGAATGGTCAACGGTAACCCTAACGTTCTTTGTCTCGAAGCGGACCAAGAGTCGAAGACAATTTCTTCGGCAAAGGGTCGGAATGGAAACCGAGAAAATCCGGAGGTTCTGCACGTCGTTCCGTAACTACTTCCTCTCGGTTACGCTTAGTTCCAAGGCGGTTGAAACAATCGCATTCCTGTTGTTTCGCATCGACGCGATACCGCGCCGGTTGCCGCGCTTTTTAACCGATCTTACGTAACGGCGCGGAGTTTGTTGAACAAAATAAGCGCACCGTCCGCGCCGATGAACTCCTGTTACAAGCGTTTGAAGGCTGTACCGCGGGCCTCGCGTCTATGAAAGATTCCGAAGTTAAGAATAGCCGGGGTAACGCGAGACGGGGACAGTTCGTGACGGTGTCGTCGCGATCGGGAACAGTCGTCTACCCGGTATTTATCATCGGTTTCCCGGAATCTATTTCCTCTTTCGCACGATCGACCGGCGAGGGGGAGGGCAGACAATGCGATTTGCGCGGCACGTGGGCAGCGTGTCTTCGCCCGAGGTGCTCATTAAACTCGCACGCTCGCGATGCCCAGGAAGGCTGCACGCTACTTAACCATTCCTCGTAACGTTCGTAGCCCTTGACACACAATGTTGTGCAATTTCAAAGCGCCGACTGATAGCGTCTTTCGTTACATCAGTAACTGTCGTTTCGTATCTACAATGTATTTTTAAACCTGTCTCTCTGGGGGTCCAGACGTCGCGACCAGTATTGTTTAAATTGAAAGAAAGATAGAGACAGAGATTCTTTTAGTTCCAAGGAAAATAATCTACTCTCACTAGACATCAAGGATCAGGATATAAGAGCGGATTCGACTGAAGACCGGGTTGTCGTTTTGTCTAAAACCGAACAAAGTATAACACGCACGTATTTTAATTTTGTATGTATTATCGTAATTATTCCGAGTATTGGGAAAACAACTTGTTGAACCACGCGTAACCCTGAACTACCAGTTGTGTACGTAATTTCCGCGCATTCTTTGAAAATGTATTAGTCGTCAAAGAGGAGCCGTGTGGGTTTAATGCGTTACGAACAGTTTCTGTCCAATCCCTTTCCAATCTATCTAATCTCTTATTAGTTAAGTAAAAAATATCACATAGCATTCATAAAATTTGAACGTTATCTGTACCATAAATAACTCCTGAAATCTGCTCCTTTACGTAATTACATATAAATAATAGTAAATAATGTGACAGTAACGACGTTCACAGCCTAACGAAATAAAAAATTATCTATTGCTTGTAAGTAATAGCATATAAACAAATGTTATGGCATTTGAAGATTCGTATTAACTACCATTATCTTTATCCCACGTTTTTATAAGTCAGTGTAAATTTGAAAATTTTTATTAAATAATTTAGAGAACAACGTGGCACTGAAGACGTACGGGTCGTGACTGAGGCAATTCGTGTGGGGCGCCGCGCCCGCCCGATTTTCGTTCCCATAATGTCGTACATAACGCAGAAATTACGCTGTTTTACTGCGGGAAAACTCGATCGCGCGACTCTTTATGGCTAATTAATGCTATTCTAGGAATTCGGGCGTCTGTCCTCGCGTACTTCGAGAGATTTTCGTTGTGGAACGGCAGCGTTGCGGACTACTTCACGTCGCGCAGTATTATTATTGAGCGCCGCGGTTGACGCGGCATCGACGCTTTAGTAACGGGTTGAATCCGTTCGCGGGGAGAACTTGATAGTATTTCTAAATAATATTCATTATTTGTTTGATTTCTTGAAAAAGAAATCAGACGTCGGAGGAACAATGATTTTGGATGAAATAAGTCTTTTTGTTAACGTTCAATTGGTTTTTAAACAATAAAAATTGATAGAATTTGTTATA